ACTTTAAATTTGACCTTACCTTACCATATATATAAATTAGCACTTTGTACTGCTAGCTTACGAGAGATACTTCCTGCCTGATGTGTCTGGTTAGCATAATGAACATGTTAATTCTTACCATGTCGTCTGCTAGGTGTGGAAAGATGTCCAGATATTTAAAACATTGTTAGAGGCGAAAAACAAGTACAAGGTGGGTCACTGGCATTTAAATTGTATGTGGTCAGAGGGTGAATGTTTTCCCAAGTGTTTTTCTGTCTGCCCAGTTGCCATAGTTGGAGTGTTGCAGCACGATAGTTATGTTGTTTTTGGGCAGGAGAAATGTTGTACCCTCCTCAGCAGTCTGTCACTCTGTGGAAGGATTGGCTTATTTTGTTCTCTTGCCAGTGTGTTTACTGTGGCAAAGTATTCCCCTTCCCTTTGCTAAAGGTTTAGGGCACACATGCCAGCATAAACAGTTAAGGAATGCTAGTACTTATTCTTGGTCTTCAAAACGCGGCAGAAAAGGGTAACATTCACATACCAGCAGGAATCTACATTTCAAAGTAAAAGACTTTGGAATTTGTGCTCCATTGCCTGTTTTAGAGATAAAAAATACATCTTCTGCCAGAGCGGCTTTCCAGGAGTAATTATTGCGACCTAATTACAAGAAGTAAAAACAATTGAAAGAGCCTCGATGGGTAAAGTGAGTTTAATCCTAATCTGTTCATGAAATTAACTCCTTTTATCCCCTTCCCCTCTGGATCAACTCTAATATGAGCACATTTTTAATTGATATCATTATTACTACATGTGAAACTTGGCAAACATTAAGTGCTATCTTGTTTAGCAATGGATTTGGGTATATCTGTCTTTGATCTCTCCTTCATTGTACTGCGACACAAGGAGATAATTATCCAATCTGAATCAAAGCCGCTATGTGTGTCCCAAAGCATGGATCATAGCATTTTAGCACGAGGGCAACGGCGCAGCCTACAATAAGAGTTGCCATGCAAGCGACCCCGCTGAAAGGTATAATATCACCGTGTAACTATGGCTACAAACCGGCGGCTGGTGCGTGAATCACAGAGGTGCCTTGGTGCTTTCAAAGATCCTTTTCATAGACGGCTTCTCGGAGGCAATGCCTGTGATGAATGGATTTCTGCTCCGAGTGGGTGGCTTAGACACAAGGAACAGTGTGTGTGTCTTTTTCCGTAGGTGTTTGTGTGTCTGCCACCCTCTCGAAAAGATAAGGGGCTGTAACCAGACAAGGCCACGCCATTGTCATCAGCCACGCTCGCAGGTTTTTTAGCACCGTCATTGTCACGCCGGCGGACCACCCCACTGCTTAAACCACGAGTAGTCTCCTTTTTTCTGTGATGCGGCGCCGCCTTTCCTCAAAGCTTACCTCATCTTATGTGCTTTGAATCGCCAAGCATCGCAGGGAAACACCTCCGACTGCAGCCTGGACCCTTCATGCACATCACGAATGTTTGGCACTGCCAGTTCTTGATAATGGCTCTTCCATGTTTTATCAAAGCATTAGTTACTCCTGCCATAAAGCAGATGTTGGATTTTCACCCTGACTTGGAGCTAATCAGAAAGATGTGACGTGGGTGAAAGCTTTCTAACTGCTGTGCAGAGTACCAATAAATTAACACCTCCCTACTGTTTAATGAAGGCACAATAATATGTGTGTGTGGGTGTGCGTTTTTATCAGCATTGTTACTGTATGACAGCGGTGAACACCAGGATGTCTTTTGTAGGATAGGATTATCCCAGAATACAGCCTTGGACTACCTGACCTCATATCTGCAGTACGAACACAGCTCAAATTCTCCTGAAATCTCCTCTTTTGTATTCTACACCTCCAAAGGATATGGGTCATTTCTGATCCTTTAACCGTATTAATAGCAAATCCATATCCCCTCACCATAGACTCTGCGGAGCCTGGTAAAAGACACTGTTAATAACACTGTATGTGACACTTTAACATGTTTAAACTGAGGTTATATTGTTATATTGTTGACGTAATCCAATTTCAGAGTATAATAAACCGGACTTCCTGGATAATTTCACCGTTTCACGTGTTCATATAGAACCTATTAGGAAAAGTGGATTGAAGATGCAGCAGTGATCCTGGGGGTTGGTAATAACATACCCCCACCAATGCAGACCTGTGTGTTGTTTCAACGCAGTGCTATTTCCAGCCTGAACGCCCACTAACCTTTGACTCATCTACTCTTATTTCCACTGTAACATCCTCTAATCGTCAGTGTTATGAATAGATAAATATATATGAATGCTACCTTTTTAATGTTTGACAGTTAGATACTTTAGGATTGTAAACCAAACAAGACAGAACTCAATACTCCTGCCACTGTAGATGTGTGGATATATTAGGAGTTGGCGATGGTTCTTCAAACTGTGTACTAGCTTTTTGAGGTAAATCAATTTACTGCAATTAATGGGTGTTAAAATAATTGAAAGCTGCACTGAATTCCTCGCCCTGTTAGAAATCCCATTACCACGACAGTCTTAGCAAAGGTGCTTAATTTATTTGCTTTTTCAAATCTAAACTAGACAAAAAGAAAGGCCGAAGACAAATCAAACCTAATTTATTCAAAGAACTTGCACAATGCTTGCAGTAGATCATGAATGCGTAAGTGATAAAAGCCTCTAAAACTAAGTTGGACGGGATGAAAGGAGAAGGTTTTACGAGTCTGAGGCTTGCACTTAGTGTGACAGCGCCTGTGCGTTATGAAACACTCTCTTCTCCGTTTACTTCATCAATTTAAATGGAGAATAATGATGAGCAATTGCCAAAAGCACCTGTCACTCACAGGTTATAGATTAACTGAATATGGAGCAAAAGGGGGAACGTTATGGCTTCACTTTAAGTCCACATAAGTGAGTGTTTGTATCCGTGTATGTCTGTGATCTCTGCGTGGCGCGCGGTGGATGCTGTGCTTCCCTGCAGACTCAGTTTGGGATGCCGTCCAGAGCAGCACCAGCTCTCTCTGTCACACACACACACACTCTATCACACCCGCCCACACAGTTTCTCCTGCACACACACGCTCTGTTACACCTGCCTACGCATTCTTTCTCGTGGGTGTAGATAAACAAGACACACACTTCTCTCTGTGGTGGTGCACAAGGCTCCAATTAGTTTTCACACCTCTGAGGTTTGCGGTGGTCCATGCTAAGGTTCCTCTGGTCTGGACAGGGCTTCACAAAACGGTTCTATATCTACACGCCTGTGCGCAGTGTGTGTGGGGGTGCCGCTTGTTGTGATTTAATATGCATATGTGTGGGCAGGCGAGGTTTTATGCACGTGAAGCGTTGGGGGGGGGTTATCAGTGGTTCGTTGCAGCTTCGACCCCCCACAGGCAGAACACCTTAATATCATGTCTTTGTGTGTTTATCCATGTGAACAGAAGCATTACAAAGAAGCCTACAGCCTTAATATCCTTTATGGCAGGTAAAATAAAATCATTTGTAACAAACAGTGTTTTTGATGTACTGTTTGGTGGCTTTAATATCTGAGAGGAAGAAAAGGATAGCCAGGTTTTATTACTTTTTTCTTTGATGAGACTTGAGGATTATTGGTTATTTACAGTGGGAGCCAGGCTTTATTAAAAGTCCTTGTCTGTTTGCCTGCATGTACCAAAACAAAGCTCTCAGTGTGGCTATATGGACTCGAACAGGTTGAGGAGCTCCTTCAAATCCCCGAAGCGTGGTGAGTGACACTCTGGGCTCTCAAGCCTTTGTGTTAACAGAAATAATCCATATCGTGCTTTTATTCATTTGCATCAAAAACCATGGGATGTGTTCCAGATAAGAGCTTTACTTAGAATAGTGTGAAAAGAATAATGTATTATTTTCTACATTTCTTTTCATGTTGCTGCTCGAGAGCTTAAACTCTGTTTGCAATCACAAAACCACATTTCATAATGTTTGTTTTTTACCATAACAATCAATATTGGGTCATCAAATTAAGGTTGATTAATAGATTAATAGATTAATAAAGAAAAGAAAAGCACAGGTGTATTCAATAATATTAACAAGGGCTCTGTTCCCCAGTTACCCAGAAGGCCATGCCAGCCAGTCGTTATTAATGTTATTAATTCAAGCTGTGTGTGTCCTGCTTTGACAGGAGAGTATTTACTATGAGAGAAAATGGTTATTGTGGAGTTATGTCCTCATGCTACACTGATTCTTATTCAGCTTCACCTCCTTCTGCCCTCCTTCACATTCACCCTGCCATGTCACCTCCTCCCCTTTTTTCTTCTCGGCCTTTCCCTGTTGTCTCCCCTCTGTAGTAGCTCAGACTACTCCACATCTCTTCCACCTCTCCTCTCCTCACCTTTACTCTCCAGTCTCTTGCACCACTACCCTTCACTGTGTGGCTCCCTCCTGACCTCCTTCCTCTCTTCCGCCCACTCTCATCACAATAAGCACCGCATTGAGGATCCATATTGAATTATCGTGTTTGCCATTAGCCTCTGGGTTGATGGTGTAATTACCTCCATTCAGCAGGGTCCCTGTAAGCCTGACCCCGCCAACCCTGCATTTGCATTTCCACGGAGAACACTGGGTGACCTGTGCAACCAGAGATTTGGTCACGATGGGGAGAATAGAGCTCCAGCCTTTGTCCACATCTCCTCATTTCCATGTCAGTGTGCCCAAGGTGCAGGCAGGAGTAAGAACCGGAGTTAACAAGCTAGAAAGACCGAAACTGGTAATGTTTCGACTTTGTTGCCGAGGGCAACCTGCTGCCGTCACTGGATCCGAACAAACATTCCTTAATTCATTTTTCAAACTTTCCAAGTATGAATATGTATGCTGCCTTCGAGCACTTGCTCTGCTCTAAGTCCGTGTCAAACTCAATGCCCAAAAATCTGCCACATCCTCGGGAAGACGCACAACCTGTTCATTCAAAATCAAAATATATTCTGTTGATCAGAGACTTGAATTGTTCAGATTGTTAAGAACCTTTGTTTTTCTCTCCCCCCGCCCAGGGCCGTTGCACACGAGAAAACTGCAAATACCTCCACCCGCCCGCTCACTTGAAGACCCAGCTGGAGATCAACGGGCGAAATAACCTGATCCAGCAGAAGACAGCGGCGGCCATGTTGTCTCAACAGATGCAGTTCATGATCCCCGGCACCACCATGCAACCCATGGTTAGTCAGTGTCCACGCAACGTGACTCACTAGGAAAATAGCTGTTGTTGTGCTGCACTGCTCAAAGTGTTGCTCTGTTGAATAAGACATTATGAAGCTTTCATTATTGCTGTGTCATTTTCCGAAAGTATCAGCAGTGCATGATTCACTGAGAGCAAATCGTATTTTATTAGATGCCATGATGTTATCGCTTTTCTCTCAGATTACCTTGTTCTCAAATAACATCTCAAGGGAGCTCACGCATTTGTTTTTAAGTTATTGAGATGGCCTTGAGCAAAAGCACAAATCTCCCAGACTCCTCTCCGGGAGTCGCTCTGCAGTCAGGCTGTGGGTGCACTGGGCAGCTGCCAGGTGTGAACGTGTTTAACTGCATCAATGTAATGCTGGGTGAAGCCGAAAAAGAACATGCTCACTCAGCAAAACCTTCCCTGGGATACATAGAGGTTACAAAAACCCTCTTCTCTTGTTTCTACCCTCCTCTTCTCTCTGAAACCTATTCCTCTCTGTTCCCCTGGCTCTTTCTCTCTACCTGTCACACCCTCTCCCCCACCTCACCTCTCGCTCATTTGTCTCTCCTTCCTCCAACTTCTCTACCCTCTTCCTGCCTTTCACCTTCCATTCCCCATCGTCCCCTCCCTACATTCATCATTTTTACATCAGCCATTTCTTTCGTCCCTGACTACCTTTTTTAATTAAACAAAAAAAGGACAGAATATTTTAAAGCAGCTCGAATAATTCGGGGTCTTTCTCTCCCTGTAAAGCAGACGTTTCCAATGAGCCAGGGCCTTGGGTCCAGCGGTTTGAGCTACGCCCCCTACCTGACCCCCATGTCCCACAGTATGGGCCTGGTGCCCACGGACATCCTTCCCAGCAGCCCCTGCATGGTTCCCGGCAGCCCGCCCATCTCCATGAGCGGCTCTTCCTCCAACCAGAAACTGCTGCGTACCGACAAGCTGGAGGTGACAATCACAGCATCTCTTTCTCTCATACACACAAGAAGAGCATGACAGCTTATCATACCTAGTGTTGTCTTGGAGAGTCCTGAAGTGTAATTATGATGAAACCTGTGATTATGGGTGTGAGATATGTGCGACTAATGACTATTATTCATAGCTCTGATGTATTTACAGGGTCTTATGGTTTAAGTACAATAGTCACAAATACATTTCTCTTCAAGGTTTCACTCGTTCTGTGCCGTAAATACCGGGGGAAAAAACCTGGGTACCAAAAGAGTTGGCATAGCAACAAATACACACATCTTTAACCTTTCAAGAACGTTTTGAATGCAACCACTTGTTGTGTAATTACCTAAAGCAAGTTTTCTGATGCATGAGAGTAATTATTGACCTAAAGGCATGCATTTAGGAGTTGTCTTTGAATAAGTCATAAAAAAACTGCAGTACAGAAATAATTGAAGTATCAGAAAAAAAAGGCCTACAGTAATTAAGGTTGGATATTGCTCAACGCAAACTGGTACTTGCTAGACAGCGGCAGTAAAGAATGGTTCAATTACGACAACTTCAACATCCTCCATCTGCCCCTTGGCAAACAACACTCGTTTCTTTCCCACTATATTTTTGGAAGATAAACAATCATCTCCCCAAGACCTAGAGGTGATGCGTAGGTGTGCGCCTGTATGTGTTTTTCTCCGGGAGTGCTATCACTTAGCAACTGAATGAAGTTGGCTCTAATGAAACAGTATCCCTGTGAGACATGTATACACTCCCACTCAAAAAGCAGCATGTGTGTGTACATGCGTTTCAGTCCCAGAGTGCAAGTCAAAAGCAGATCCCCATGTGATTATGCCCGGCCATGAGCGGTTGAGCACGGACTGGTTCAGTGACTCCACAATCATTTTGTTTGGCACACATTGCCCTTTAGTTTCACGCTGTTCAGACCTTTTTATACCTTTTATCGCCTGCGCTTCAAAACATGGGATTTTTAAGTCTGATGCAGCAGAATAAAGTAAATCCTTACTGTTTTAAGAAAGACATCGTGCAGGATTTTTCTCCCATTTCTTTTGTAAAAATAGTGCACATGGTTTGAAAGCGTGTTCTTCCCTACTGTGAAGTATGGAAATATGTGTCAGGATTCCCATTTTTAACGTCAAATACTTCCAAAAACATCAATTATCTTGGAGATTTTGATGGCTGCCTGCTGTACTAGTTGGTTGATCATGCACTACACCAAAACAATTTAATTAGAAGCAGCCAGTGTGTTGAATAATGTTTTGTGACGTGTTCTGGAAGCTCAAGTATTCACATTTCTATGTCTTTCTCTGCTTATTTCTTTGCCTTCTCTTTTTGGCATCCCTACATCTGTGTGTCTGTCCACGTCTGCGTGTTTCTTTCGTCCACCTCTCGCTCCCAGGTGTGCCGCGAGTTTCAGCGAGGCAACTGCGCCCGCGGAGAGACCGACTGCCGCTTCGCCCACCCGAGCGACAGCCCCATGATCGACACCAGCGACAACACGGTCACCGTCTGCATGGACTACATCAAGAGCCGATGCTCCCGCGAGAAGTGCAAGTACTTCCACCCCCCCGCCCACCTGCAGGCCAAGATAAAGGCCGCCCAGCACCAGGCCAACCAGACAGCTGTGGCCGCGCAAGCCGCCGCCACGGCTGCAGCCATGGTGAGAGCTCAGCACTACAGCCTGCCTACTCTACACTCATATTGGTCCTTGTAGTAGCTAGACAAATATTTACAGAGCAGTACTTCTAGAGAAGGAGCTTGTAAGGTTAGGATGGGACAATAAGGCTTTTTTTTTTATAGCGTCTATATAAAGTGTACCTTTATATCGCATCGAATAAACAAGTTATTATGGGGGGGGTGAAAGAGCGAGTAAACACAATTAATGCATTATTTTCACACAAATTACATTAATATCGGCACCATTTTTAAATTGGAGATCATACGTCATTGTGTGGTGATCTCTTGGGCAATTGTACACACGTAACCACACTCTGAATACACGTGACATTATCACAAATCATCCCGGCTTACACCATATGTGTACACACATGCTGTTGCCGATGACACCCACAGTAACATGAAATGTGGAGCGCTGCTTTATTGCTGTATAAAACATACCCGCCTCTGCTGGTTAATTCTAGTGGACTCCGGCGCACTCTTCACCAACAATAGCTGAGGCCGTCGTTTACAATAACCAGGGTTTAGTTAGACCTATGTGCATCCGTATAATGTCGCAAGAACAATCTGTTATTATCTCACCGCAGTATGCTTTTATTTTCCAATGCCCTTGGTTCATACAGAGACAATGTGCTGGCTCACCCCCCATCCCACCTCCCCTCCCTGCTCTCAATGATAAGTGCGGCTCTCTGCAGATCAGTGTAAATTGAATCGGGGATGGATGAGGATGTAGCCTCACGGGCGGGGTTTACCCTCCTCTGCCTTTAGTTGGAGAAAATCCCATGACATGCTGAGGAAGAGACAGACAGATTGAGATGCAGACAGAAGGGTTTGGCAGTGTGTGTCCCCCCCCAGGCTATGAGTGGCTGCTGCACTCGCACACCTTGTACTGCGCTAGTGTGTTTTCTCCTTCCATGGCATGGGCATGCTTTATGCACATACCTCTTGCCATTGGCTGGCTCCATCGCTGCTTGCTCTCTTTGTCCTTCCTCCATAAGTCCATGCAGTGCCAATGACGAGTCGACAGGTCAATTTTGTAGCAGAAAAGCAGGGAAACAAGAAGGAATTGGAACACACATAAATAAAAGACAGCCTGAGACCCAGAAGCGCTGTAACCTGACGTTGACCCCGTCTGTTTTCTTAAAGGAGAACTTTAGCTCAACAACTTCCCCATCAGGTACACAATGCTCAGTCAAACAAGCAGTAAATCGTCCCTGTGCATTCTTTACAATCCTGAGCCTCTTCTTACTCCTCTTGTGTTCCTCATATGCCCCACTTAATTAACTTTATGAACCAATTTGCCATCAGCAGTTACTGGCTTTGCCAGAGGTGAGCTGGGTTAACCTTAGGACAATGAGTTGTTTAGTCAGCACCTTAATCCAATTTTCTTTTAGCCCTTAGCCTAAGCTTAAGCACCTTTGTTGAAGCGGAGCCCCATAAAACTTGTATTGCTGCACTGCTGCAAATAGGTAATATCATTATCCATAATTCACTTTATTTGTTTTAAGCAAATAGGCTAAAGTGTGCTGTAGATAAGGTTACACATTAACTGATACAGTTACAGTAAGAAGATCCTATTATGGAGATTATGTTGTTTTACTGTGCCACATTATGTGTTGCTTGCCATGCTGTAATCTTCTCCCTCATTGCAAGTGGAATGCGGTCATCTCTGCTTTTCATGTCACTTTAATTGGCCATCTTCCATTTGCACTAACCAGGGTGTTTAAGTGTGTTAACACTGCAGCAATGCATTGTCGCTCTTTATAATGTCATATACTAGTAGAGTATCTGCATACAATAAGCAAGAGGCTTGTGCATGGACCCCTCTAATGCTGTTCTCATCACATCCATGTCATCTTTTTTTTTTTTCTCAGCAGTGACGGATGTACGTTTTTTTAATAAATTAAACAGTTACTACCTCGTTAGGGTTAGCTTCATACTAATGTAAAACGCTTCTAGGTCTTAAGATACTTGCTGTTTCTAGGAGGAATGTAAGAATAAACAGAACTCCACATTCTGTGATTATGACTCACATTGTGTCACCTCCCCAAGTTCATTGATCACACTAACAAGCCACACCATTTAGTTTAGGGTTTAAAGCACTAGACGTGAATTGACACCACCATAAATAAGTATTTGATCTGCTTTTTGTTCGGCTGGTTGGGACTAAAAATCTGCCTACACAAATATGTCCACTTGTGAGTGCAGAGTTTATTATTTGAGGGGCTTTGACCAGAGCTCGCTCCCATCCAAACGGGTGTTTTAGACATTTCTCACGGCCCAAAGCACCTCCAGAAGCACTGTAATTATTGTGTGTAGCACCCTACCTGTGTGAAGTGTCAGCCTATTATCTGAATCAGTTGTGTCTACTGCATTTTCTTCTACCGAAATTAAACTTATTTACTTACTATAAGTAAATGCTTACCCAGTAGTTTTGAAATACATCATAGAAACTTGCTTTTTGTTAACCGAAAGATAATATAGATGCTTTTTTTTGCTTTTTGTACTAATTCAAAAAAGGTAGTTTTCTTTGAAGTAAACAAAACAGTTTTTTGTTTATGTGCATGCCTATTGTTTTGTATGTGGTATACTTGCATTCAGATTATTTTTGTTTTTTTCCTTCTCACCTATCCACAATGCAATGCTGTCCCCCATGACGCACCTCTGCTTGCTGTTACCTGTATGTTAATACGCTTGAATCCCATTGGCCCACTGCCATCATGTGCTCGCTGCCTGCTAATTAAAGACTCAGTCGACTGCCAAAGCAATGAAGCGACCCCTCGAGGCAACTGTAGACCTGGTACTTTGACCTTTCACCTTTTGCTTTGCATGTAGCTTCTTTAATTGTACTGTAGCCACTCACACAATTTAAGTTGGCTCTTTTGTTTTTTGTGAAACCCTGTAAAATTCTAAATATTTTTGATCACAAGTAGCAATTATAGATTGTACTGTACATGTATTAATGTAATGTTAAATTATTTTCTGTAATGTGTTGTTGATTGCCTTGCTATGGTGTAGTTTCTCATTGTCCTTGTGATAGTTACAGCAAGCTTCCACTTGTGCCTTGTTGTGCTGTGCTTAGACAAATAACACATTTGCAAATATCACACTTGTGTAAGTATGCAGATCAAATCTAGTGTGTGTGCGTGTGTGTGTGTGTGTGTCCAGGCGTTCCCCCACGGCATCCTCCAGCCCCTACCAAAGAGACAAGCGATGGAGAAGTGTAACGGCTCGCTGTTCAACCCCAGTGTTTTGCACTACCAGCAGGCTCTGGCCAACGCACAGCTCCAGCAGCCCGCTTTCTTTCCCACAGGTAAGAGCGCCTCGAAACACAGAGGCACTCATCTAGAGCATGCAAACGCACAGAGACACCCACTGAATGTGCTTATCTAACCTCATCACAAATTATCTTATTGTGCTAAGATCACCACTCATGATCGGTTTCGTGAGTTTAGTCCTAGATTTTCTTTTGATAAGTTTGAGTGACGTACATAAAAATTCCTGCTATGAAAGTGTGTGTTAATGTTCCAAATATTCACTGTGCCAGCCCTAAACTTTGATCTAATTCCTGCCACGTAGTGTCTGCCAGGTTGAACTTGGATTCGATACACCTTTCTCAACCGTAGCACCAAAGCATACCAGAGGAGAAAAACAAGCCCTAGTTGTTTCTAATGATAAGGAGGCTTTTAAGAAGAAAAGTGATTTATGTTTTGAGGTGCATCAATATCGGAAAAAAGGGACAATTTTAAAAGCGCAATCCTCTTCTAGTCACTTGCTAAAATGATGTACAGGCCTGTAGCCACACTGAGTCATGAGGATGAGACTCCCATCCCTCACGCCACATTTTACCTGATCGTTTGGTTTGCCTGTTGTTTGAGATGCCTGACAGCCCCTCCTCTCTCTCTCCCTTCCTCCCCTCCCCCTCAGTATCAGTGTGTGGGAAGTAGCCCTGGGTTAAAGTCGTGTTTGCACATAATGTTATTACAGATCGGCTAGGTTTCAGATTGGTGGAGATTGAAAAAACAACAATAGGAAGCAGATATATAAGGTTGACTGTAATACTGTAGTGACACTGAACCTTGATATTTTCCTACACCACAATTATGTTATTTGCATCGGTCTTGTAGCCACTGAACTTTATGAGAAAGTAAGAATATACAAAAGAATATTCCCTTTTAAATAATGTGTAAAAACATAAGCTTGGCTGCTTGTGGATCAGCAGAACAATGTGTATCAACTTTATTAACAGAAGTACAACAAATGCCACTCTCAGATACGTAAATGACTGATTATTTATCATTTACTCCACATCTGTAAGCCAATAATCATTGATCCAGCTTTGCCAACATATTACACATTATTTCAGAACCTACAGTAGCATTTCCTCACGTATGCTATAACTGAATAAGGGGACTCCTCTGCTTGCTCCTGCATTCACGGCTCCACTGTAGATATTTTTATTTTGGTCTTGTCTAACTTTGTTGATCTCCTCCCTCTCAATTAACCCATTTATTTCCTCCTCTCTCTCTCTCTCCCTCTCCCCCCTCTCCCTCTCTGTCTTTCTCTGCATGAACACAACAGGGTCAGTCTTGTGCATGACTCCTACTAGCGGTCTTGGTAGGTCTTGCCCTTCCCTTTGCTCTCTCACACACACTGTATGATGTATGTTGTCGGGGGCAATATCTGCAACCCTTGCAGGTGAGACAATAGGTCACCGCATTTCCACCTGTGGCAGTGGTGGTAAACCAGGAAATGTCTATTTGTTTGTCCTGAGATAATATATGGAAAACACATTTGTTTGTGTCACCTGAAAGGGTTGTGACTTTCCTCCCCTCCTGACCTACTCGCTAATGTGTGGACATGATGAAGATGGTAGATAGAATACTGTTCTCTAAGCTGTAGGATAGCTACTGTCTGTTTGCTGTGCTGTGTTGATCAGGAAATTGAAATCAGTTTCCCAGAGAAGTTATTCCACAGCCGGAGTATTTTTCTGCGCTAAAAGGGGATCGGAATTACAAGAAGTCCGCAATAATGGGAAATGGATGACAAGGAATAATGATTGTAAGCGTAATCTCTGTCAGAGGAGCATGTTTTTGGCATGAAGGAGCTGCCTGGCGTCTTCCTGCTTGTCAGCCCACATGAATTAGAAAAACAAAATTTCCATCCCCGCTGCCAGAAAACGCCATTGATTCATTGTAATTGGCGCGCTCAACTTCTCTGGGAAAAACAGCAAACTGATTCTCCGTTTACATTTCCTTACTTGTGATTGTAATCAGCTTCTCTCCTCTTGTTTTTGTTTGTTTTTTCTCCCATGCTCTTTCTCTCTCTCTCTTCCTTTCTTTCTGTCCTCCTTGCTTTGCATTGTGAATGGGTGCATGCCATCTGCCGGTGTAAACTTAACGATGGCTTGCTGGCTCTCTGTAACATCCTGCTCACCATCAACAATATCTACGACAACAAACGCATCACAACTGTTGCCCTGGTTACCATAATGCTACCTTTCCATTGCTACCTCCTCCTCCTCCTCCTCCTCCTCCTCCCTCCTCCTCCTCCTCCTCCTCCTCCTCCTCCTCCTCCTCCACCCTGAAAACATAGTCCCAATGATGTACAGTGCTTCGCCTGCTACTGTCTCTGCAGCAACAACTCCTGCCACAAGTGTCCCCTACGCAGCAACAGCACCAGCCAATCAGGTTTGCTCCTTTTTAAAGCTTTCTTTCATCAGTCCCTGGAGCTCTGAATAAGTACTAGCCTCTAATAGTGGGCTGCAATAACCTGCAGCTGAGCCCCCCCCCCCCTCAACCAAACATCCGCCCGCACTGGGCATGAGAGCCTGTATTTTCCAGAGCTACCATTGTTCATATTTCTTATAAAACATCACAACAAGCACTTCTTCAGAGCTCCCCAATTTGCAGAGTAGTAGTTGTGTTGCACTACTTCCTGGTTTTGTTTTGCATGTTCTGTTTTAAGTTTCCACTTTTCTCGTTGTTAAGAAAAGCCTCTTCATCTGCAATAGAGGGCATCATCTGTACTGCTTGTGTGCTAAGCAAACACACACGCTTAAGCAAACACACACAGGCCATGTTGGATTTTTACCTTTTTCTGGACGCGGGATAAAAAGGGCGAATAAACCATGTGAGGGAACGATAGTGTCAGTGAGACAGACACAGGAAAAATGATCACAGAGGCTGTCTAAAAATGGCCTCTGATCGGCTCTCCTGTTGATGCGTGTCAGCAGGAGCCAGGGAACCAGGTTTGAATGCCACAGTGACGCATGCGTGGAAATGTCTGCACAATGCTGGTGCCCCGGCCTCACGCAGCTGGTAATCATTTACTGGTAGTACGCTATGTAGAGGTGCCTTGAGGACACGCAGATGAACAGATTAGAAGTGTTCCACAGGTACACATGTGCCGTTACTGGAAAACAACCACGCCACTATCAGCGGGGAAGAATTGGCCACATGTTTATCATTGTTTGTCGAGAGGCAGTTGGGATGAGTATAAATTCACTTTAATGCAAAACAAATGCAAGCATAATGGAGACATGTGAAATGGGACACTGAAGGGAGCTTTAGAATAGATAAGGGCCAAGACACTCATCATTAGTTAACGCAAAAATGTTATTTATTTGTGCCCTAAATGAACAGAAAAACTTAAATTACAATTTTAAACCTTTAAAAAGAAAAAAATAATGAGAGCGGAAGGATGGTGTAAAAAAAAAAAAAATGACGGGTTCATTTTCAAATGAAAAACAATCAAATGAATCGCTGTTCCATCGTAAACGGATGATCCGGCCCGGTACCTTGCTCTTTATTGCCCCTCACAGGCCAGCAGTGTGTGCACTTCCTGCGAGACACCATCCCTTCCTGTAATTGGCATGCAGCAGCAGTAGCAGCAGGAAGCAGAGCTGCTCTTTAAAGATGCATGTGGGACAAGGAGAAACACTGACGTCAGCCTCGCTGTCTGTCTCCGTCTGCTCCCCCCATCCACCACGCTGCATAAAGATCTCTCCAGCTAGGACACAGTTAACACGTCTCATCACGAGCTGTACTGGGCGGAGGGCACGCCTTGTTTACTACATCTTATGGTCCTTCAGAATAAACACCCAGAATTAGTTTTTTGTAAATACATGATGTCATTGTTTCCTGAAAAACAAACCTGTCTGTCAGAAGCTATGAGGTGCAAACCCTGAGATTGTGCTAACGAAGCATTAGCCTTTGGCATCGCCTTCATTGTTTTGTGGGGTTTTCAAGTTGATTTGGACTTAGTGAGGGGAATAAAATTGGCATAGTGATATTAATACTTCTGGAGCTATAGGCCTGTGTTTTGGTCACCTCTCAGACGTAGGTTAAAAAAGACACACTCGTGCTTTGAGGGACAGGATGTTGCAGACACATTAAGAGGTTCAGAGTCTGGTCAACTCTCCACAGTCTGAGCTGTGACATGACAAGCAAGAACCAATCACATCATCATGTTCCAGCTCATATTAACCATGTGCTAGGTACTGGTGTCTCTTACTGGTAACGTTGCAGCGCCCTCTAATGTCAGAATATGGCATTACATGCTTTGCAGGCTGTGTGTGATCCACCTAGATAGAAAGATATGTTTATTTGTATTAAACATAATTAGAGACTGTATGTTGAGCAGCTAGAGGACAAGGGTTCAACCTCTTACCTCACTATGGAGAGAAATATATTTTAGAACATTTAATCCTCCATCTTCTCCTAGGCTGAAACATGCTGTTAGTAAATCTGCAGTATAGGACCTGCGAACAGTCCCTGCATGGCGTTTGTTTTCACCCACCTGTGGTGCCAGACGGGTGGAGTGTAACATATGTTCACACTGCACACACTCACACACTCTCCACCTGCAGCGTCCTTCTGTGATGTGTGATGCGACCAGTGGCTTCTGTCCTTTGCTGACTCTCTATTGTATATTAACACTCACCATGCTTTAGGGCTTTGTTCTGGCTGCTAGGGGCAACCACAGCTACCTGTCCTCCCCCCATAGACAATCTGTCCCTCTTCTTCTCTCTTTCTCTTCGTTGGGTCAGTGTTTATCTCCCAAAGAGAGAATACACACAGACGTGGCTGGACCTAGGTCAAATACAATTTGCAAATCCGGAGAAGCTTTGGCTCCAATTTGTGTGAAACATCAGACCATTAACACAGAAAAGCATAATATGTCTCAACAAACAACATGTTGTCGAATGTCTAAAGGCAAACATTTGTATGTGAGTCTGGAATGGCTAAAAATGGTCCTGACTGCATCTCACTGCCTTCCGGATGGCTTTCTCTCCACAACCCTTTAGAGGAAGTGGTTTCTCGCTTTTTTGGAACATGATCTGACATTGACTTGACCACAAAACATTCTCTGAGTTTGGGATAGACAACTCCAAGAAGCCAGTTGTTAAATAGTGGCTAGCAGCTTGCTGAATCCAAATCTGACCTAGACTAGACGGAAACAAAGGCAAATATTGTTTGACCCAGATCACGGCAAACACATTAAAAGCATCTATTCTCTGTACTTATGTTGTTGTATATTTAATATTGGTCGTTTCTGTATTACAGGTCCACTAAATGTGTCTTTTTGCTCCTTCTCCTTTACTCTCTCTGTCTCTGTCCTGCAGATTATCCTGAAATAATTTTCAGGAAGGGAATGGAGTGTCACGAAGCTGCACTAGGAAACCCACAAGAGCCCCTGTGTAAATACTACATGACCTCTCCCATAGAGGTCCAGCAACCTGCATGCTAAGAGTGTAACACTTCAATTTAACCGTAAGAACTGCAGTGCCGGTGTAACACACACATAAAAAAAAAAAAGATATATACTGTATGTATTGCTAGAAAAAAAAAAACTATTAACTTGAAAAAGTCAAAAATATTCTGTATAGTACTACATACATAGCAGACACACTATAAAGGTCGTTTTAACAACTGTTCTCCCAAAGTACCGTCAAACCCCTCTTTCATATTTATTCTAAAAGCCGCTGCACAACGTTCATCCTTTTGGTTAGTATAGAGAAAAAGATTTGCACTATACGAGTCATGTAGTGCTTGAGTGGAAAGCAGGAAGAGTCACAGGGGTATGGTAGGGTTAGGGCTTTTCTAAAAGTTGAATGTCCTTGGGGCAGACAGGCTCATGTTTTGTTAACGTGACGGTCCCTGCGAGGGTCCTCTGCCCCAGATGCTGTTAAGATGCCATGATGAAGCTCATCCATCCCTCCCCATGCCAACTTTTCATCTCCGGAAACATCTTGCCAAAGTTGAAGAGGTCGGTGGAATCGACCTGCCAGAAGCAGAGCCACATTTGAAACCCCCTGATCATTTTTTTTCTCTCTTTTGCCATTGTGAAAGCTGCTCACGACGCACCCTTTATTTGTTCCGGTGCTCAGGAGGAGTGGTGGGATAGATTGTGCACGGATTTCTGCATGCAGTCTGGACTGTGGGGAAGACAGTGTTGACAGAAGACAGTTGTGGCCATTACCGAAAAAAGCCTAAAGGCTCGGGTCTGTGCCAAGGGCTTAACCAAGCTCTAGGGTTCATTCCAGACATACCAAGCCTTGTGTGTGTGTGTGTGTGTGTGTGTGTGTGTGTGTGTGTGTGTGCGTGCGTGTGTGTGTGTGTGCGCATGTGTGTTCGTACCTGGAGACGGATGGTCTGCCGGCAGACTGGGACTTGAAGCGAGGTCTAGCAGGTGACAGGAGGACAGGTTTTTTGGGGGGTGGGAGAGGGTATTAAGTGCTAAACAAAAAAACGGTGCATTTGACGACGCACGTCAAGCAAAAGATGACTTGAACTACGACTGGAGGGCTATCTGTGACCGTCGGTTGTCCTGTCCAACCCTACTATCACCGATAATCCTGTTCCATTTTAGAAAAAAACTGTAGAAGTGCCTAAAAAATGCTCATCAACAACACATTCATTCAGAGGGAGAAGTCAAGGACACGACACACCGGCTGTCAGGAGGACTTTTTCGGGGAAGACATCACATTTCGGAAAAAGGTTACTAGAAAAACCCCTAGTAACCGTTCATTGACATCACAAGTGACTTTATGGAAACAAAATAAGTTAAAGAAACGACAAATCAAAAATAGCTTTGTAGAATGTTTGGTGACTTTCACAGTGTACCATCGTTTCTTACCATGGTTTGAGTAGTTTACATGAGGAACGTGAGTGAGAAAAAAAATGTATTGTAAACTGTGTAATGTATGTAAAGTGTCTCTTATTTTGAGAGTTTATATTCATGGTTCTAGAAATGTATTCAAAGTTATTTAAAGATTTGTGTTGTGTCTACTATCAAGGTATTTTTCAACACCCCCCACCATCTTCACCTACACCCAGAACAATCATTAGATTTTATCATTTTTAGAGCAACCCTCTCATTAATACTTTAAATAATGTGTTTTAACTCATACTAAATCTTATTTCCCATATTTCAAAAACTCTGATGTAATTTCATGGTGCTCGATTAACATTGACAATCCACGATCACACCTTTCTAAAGAGTGCTTCACTCTTGGTTTTTTTATTTCCTCCACTCTTGATTGTCTCCACTTATTTGTATGTAATATTTGTGGAAGGTGGTAAAAGTTTTTATTTTGTTGTAATTTATCTTATGTTACTCTTGGTCAAATTTTAGTCGAAAACAATGTTGTTAACTATTTTGAAATGAATGTAATTTATTGAGCTGTGCTACGTTCTGCACGGTTGGTCATTTCAAGGTCTAACCTGTGAGGTCAGCCAATGAGAAGCCGAGAGGGGTGGGGCTTAAAAGTCAAGCCACCAATAGGAAGCTACTGGATCTTTCTTGCCTTCTCATCGATAAAGAGATCACGGGTTGCAGTAATGAGCATAGTTATAGAGTTGCTTGTGTTGTTGGAAAAAAAAAATGTTTATTGTATAGATGACATTTTACCAAAAAAAGAAAGAAAGACAATTTCAAAAAAGATGTACTTTTCACTCTAGTATAATAGTATTTCATAACAATATTAAGTTGTTGCTGTGGCAACCAAATGTTGCAATTACTAAAGTTGGGTATTTTTGTAAATGACATCGTTAAGTTGATTTTTGTTTCTTTTTTGCTAGAACACTGTACACAAGGTAGATTGTAAAGAAGATATGAACATTTCTTATTCTTCACTGAGATTACGACCTAATATTTTCATTAGCAAAGGACGGCCTGTATAGTGCTGTGACTGTAACACTTAAATAGATGTAAAGTCATCAATGTTACATAGATTATATATAAATATATATATATATATATATATATATATATAAGAACTAAATAATCTATAAATTAAGATGTACAACTTTTCCCCCGACAAAGGACCTTACGGTTCCACACTGAGACCTTTTTATTTGTTGTTAAGGATTGCACTTTTCATATTGTTTAAAGATGATCTGTTTTTCATTTCCTTTTGAAGGGGCTGAGACAGTCCTTCACTCTGCAGTCAATCTGTTTATCAATCAGAAGCAGACTCCATCGGTAAATCACTTTAACTCCACATGTTGCATGAGAAAACAATCTTTTCTTTTCTTACTAAAACGATTACGTACTGAATGTTTCTAGTGAAAAAAAAAGTCTGTACACAAACATGTCCTCATTTGGTGACCCACAATGCCCTTGTGTAAGGAATCCTCTTGAGCTGTAATGTTTTTTTTATTTGAAATGTGTTGGCAATGATTGACTGATGGGGAAAAAAGAAAATGTAAGCACTTTCTGAGCAGTTTGTCAACTGAGCAGACTCCGCTTATCCAAACACGCCTTATCTTGAGTCCATCGTGCTTAAGGTTTTATGTTTTTAATAGCTCTTATTACATTAAAAGAGACTTGATCTCGAAATCCCTTCTCGGTTTCACTTGAAATACTTTATATCCACCATCTTAAGGTTTTAATGTGCTCATCACAAGGCCAGGGGAAACTGCCACACAGAGAAGAGTCGTCTGTGTTCTTCTGCTCTCTAAAATCTGTACTGAGGTGTTTCTGTTTGGAGATGTGATTGACAGCTTTAGCCGGCAGAGGGCGGTACGCTGGAGACTGCAGGTTAGACACTGTGACTTCCTGTGCCATCCTTTGTTGCAGACTACCCCCCCCAACAAAGTAAAGACAAATTGACAAAAAGACCCTCATCGGATTTATAGTTTCAATGTAATCATTTTTAAATGTGTTTTTTTGCATATATTTTGTGCTACTTTTATGTTTCTATAGTCAAATGTTTCTTCGGTTCCAGCAAGATAGTGTAAAATCTATTGAAATAAAGAAAATCAAAGAAACGTTGTGTCCCAATCCTTTAGTCAAAGGTCTTGAAGCACCCTTTTTGTTTGCAGGAACGACTTTTAAAGTATATCACAGGTCATTTGAACATGTTGTGAGGCCAATATCTGGTCAGTGTTTTAATAGAAGTGGCTCCTAGCTGTCCGCTGTTATGCTTTCACCACACATGATGAACATTATGATAAGGCTCTGGGACAAACACACTTCATTTGTTGTTTCTTTGTCATTTCCTGTTGCTGCAGTGGAGCTTGTTTACAGGGGAAATACATTTCTATCTGAAGGGTCAACAATACTGCTTTAATGGATTAGTATTGATGGTGTAGAAAAAACAAACCGAAGACTTTGGTGAGTATATTTGTGAATATAAATTGTATTCTGATGTGTTGGCAACATTTTTTATTTTTGCAGTGTATTCCAAACACTTTGCTGAGTGTGAGGAGCATCTCCTGTGGTAGGTGAACCCAGTTTCCCTCAGACTTGCAGAATCAGTTCCATCTTTTACATTTCAATCTTAGAATTATCTTTAAAAAACACTATTTATAAACCCAGGCACATTTCTTGTTCATTTCCAACGTGTCTAATGTTCTTTGTTTTTCTCTAATGTTATTGCCTTCTATTTCCATAATACCTTTTTAATTGGTTCATTGACTGTCAGTATCAGTTATTTAGAAAATGCCAAAAACCCATATTTATGAGTGACAAAGCACTTTGGTGATGTGATGTTATAGAGTCTGGGGCATGGGACCAGCATCCATTGTTCACCTTTTATTAGTCTAAACTTAACCACACTTCAACAATAACTATGTTTATTTGCAACATTGATGTGTATTACATTAAATATGCACTGATATAGTGTAATTCCAAAATGAGGGCTAATAATAGTTTGCTTACAATCAAGAAAACTTCCTCTGACAGTTTAAATAACAATATGATTAAGTAACACGGCTTCAGTATCAGTTTCATTCCATTATCATAAGCTTCTCTTATATCTTTGTCATTTCTATTCTTCCACTGTCTCTATGTGGCACTAATCACCCCCCATATATTCCAGGAACTAGTAACATCATCCAGTGGCTGCACCGACTCCAGAGGCGTGGATTCCCAGCAGCTCTGGAGCCTCCTTAAGGATAAATAGGCTCTTCGCCTTTAACGGTACTGTACCCCACTGAGTGTGCAGACATACTGTTAGCCTATTGTTTTGCACATAAGAAGATGTGCCGTCTAGTTGTTGCTAATAATAGACAATCTTATTTTTACCACACCGACGCCTTATTGCATTATGGATGCCACTGGAATCCCTGCAAGATAGCGTGGGAATATTTCAGTAGAGGCTGCTCCTCTCTGGGCTAAATGCTCCAGCATCCCGCCTGTCTCTGCAGCAGCATCTCCTCCTCCTCTGTCTCCTTCTCTGCGCGCTGTTCCTGTGTCATGGCTGTGGTGTGAGTCTAGACTGCTGTGCGTGGGGATGCGTTTCTTTTATCCGCTGCTGTACACTTTATTCTCTGCATGCGGGGTTTAGGTCCACAGGATGCGAGAGTATAAGGTGGTGGTGCTCGGCAGCGGTGGGGTGGGGAAGTCCGCCCTCACGGTGCAGTTTGTCACCGGGACATTTATAGAGAAGTACGACCCGACCATTGAAGATTTCTACAGGAAGGAGATCGAGGTGGACTCCTCTCCGTCGGTGCTGGAGATCCTGGACACAGCCGGCACCGAGCAGTTCGCCTCCATGAGGGACCTTTACATCAGGAACGGACAAGGCTTCATCCTGGTCTACAGTCTGGTCAACCAGCAAAGTTTCCAGGACATCAAGCCCATGAGAGACCAGATCATCAGGGTGAAAAGGTGAGACACTCCTTGTATAAAGTCCTGTTACAATAGGGGTGATGCTAGCCTATTAAGGTCCCTTTAAATGGTCACATCCTGGTGGGGGAATGGACACCAAAAGTTGGTTGTGTTAGTGGAATAGGAATGTAATTGTCATCCTTTTGATTTATAGTGGAATACAATTCTCATCATGGAGAACCCCAAGGATCCTCCCAAGGGCCCTTGAAAGATCAAAATTATCCCACGCCAAAATGTAAGATTATTTTTACAATCAGGCCCAGCAGGAAACATGCCAAAATATCATCCCGCCTCTTCCTCTTGTGTCTGGATCCCCTCCAGCGCTGCGTGAGAAGCTGTAGCTCATATGTTCCCCATAAGAGGCCCAGCTGCGGCTCACCTGTCATACATCAACCCGCTGAACTCTCCCTGGGATTGATATCCTCTGTCTCTCTCACATGACTAACTCTGGATGGCTTTGATCAGTTCAGACCATTACTCAACAAATCCACTGAGCTCATCCTCGGCAGGGAGAGAAAGAGCGAAAGAAAAACTGGGATATTTCCCTTTGGTGGTCACATATCGGTCTTATGGTTTCCCTTAAAGGACATAGCCAGACCAGAGTGCAAGTGAGGAATCTATTTGTGTTTTAATCAGCTAAATCTAAACATTATGAAGGAATTGAAGAGATTGTTTGAAATCGGTTTGGTGTCATGTCAATCATTTCCCCTTTAAAGTTTAAAAACATTTTTGCAGATATCATCCCTGGTTTATTTTCTCCTCATCTGTCAAAAATGAAGGCGAGCATATTTACAATTAAACCCTCCAAAAAATGAAGTATAATAATAATTAAAAGGGCTACATTTCCTATTTCCTAGACAGCCTTTAAATTGTGATAATGGACATTTACAACAGTTTGGATAAGACATTTAAAGAAATAGGAGTGTCTGTTTATTGTGAAGGTGCAGCTAGGAGATGGTTAGCTTAGCAAAAAGACTGGAATCAGGGGCAAACTAGCCTGACGCCCTCCAAACTGCACAGTTGTCTATGTGCTGGACTTCTACCTCCGGGAATACACTGGTCCAACAAAAAATAGGACCAAATTGTAAACAAATATCCTTTAACCTTTAGGGTTGGTTGTCACAGAGTAGACAGAGCCATCCTGTGTCTTGGGGGAAATAAATCCTATCTCACATGCTGTGTTCCTCCTATTCCTCCAGCTTTTCATCAGTAAAACGGACAGAAACACAATTATCCATCTGCATGTTGTGTTATAGTAATCTACCTGCATAGTTTGGTGCAGTGCTTTTCACCTCCACACCCCCCACAGTTCCTGTAGCCCAGACGTCACAGGAAGCAGGAGAGCGACACTGCTGACAGAAACACAGCGGGACGAGTGGGTGAGGGAACTCCTTTTGAAAGGAGAAATATAACGAAGAATACAACTGTCTTGTGCCGCCTCTAGTCACTAGCCGCCACCCCGATGCAGCTGCCCACACCGCAGCAGCCACCACCAGCCTCAAGTGTATATCCATCAATATTTCATACTTTTATTTCACACTGCTCTGCGTCTGAAGTAGAGATTCTTACTGTATGTTTTCATTGCATTAGTGTCTCATTTCTAAGCGTGCAATGGGACAGTGCAAAGGCATTCATGCAACATCTCTACCAGTTTATATAAGGATAGGCTTTGTTGTTCTTTAAACATATGCAGACATTTATTTTTTAATGAAACAAGCCACACAATCAGCTCCTGGTCTCCATTAGCTGTCTCCAGGAGATCAGCCTCCCTCCTCCCAAACTTCTTGCTGAGCCAGCACCACACAGAGATATAGTATGTGCCCACTCACCAGAACTTAATGGGATTGTGTTGGCTTGGAAGCCAAGAACACATCAGGCCTCCATTAGGGAGACAAATAAACCAGAATGCTTATGCAGGAGGTGGGAGGGGGCATGGGAAAAAAGTGGGATGTTATGTGCTCTGTGGTGCAGGTGTTGTGAGTCCACATATCATTTTCATTGTGCTGAGTTATACTCGAGGAGGTGCAGTCAGTGTCAGGAAATACACTCTGCGTAATAGTTAGAGCAGCTGACAGGAGCTAAAACACCACCAGCACGTTAAAAGTATTGCTCTATAAAAATAATGTTTCTTTTACATTACACATGTGTATAACTGATGCATATGTTAGCCAGAACGCACCCTCTGACATACTTTACCCCCCTTAGACTCAAGCACTTCACAGTCTAACAAAATAAACCCATGTCGGTTGCTATCTGTGAAAACAACATCTGGGTGTAGCCCTCCGCACAATCTAATAATCTCCTGGCTTGCCTGTGAAGGTTTATTGTGCGTCTGCTCGGAGGAGGAGGAGGCACGTTCAAAGCTCTGGAGCTGCGTGTTCACGCTGCACTGATGCTGTGTCTAATAGCAGGAGGTGAGCATCACGCACCGCTGAGTGGGAATAGGGTGGAGAGACCAAAACTACATATCCCAGGGGGCACTTTGGTGTAGGTACAAAGCAACTTCCCGACCTCAGGCTTTTAGTGTTTGCCATCAGGATGGAAAGAGTTGTTAAGCAGCCAGCTTGCTTTAGTAAAGTGCTCGGTGTAAAGTGTTTTCAACATATCTCACAACAGCCCTGTTGCCCTGAAGAGGTTCTCTTATAACACTTTGAAGAACAAAACATGTTTCCCATATTTCTTATCATCAAGCAACACATCAGATTTATCTTATGACCCCTTGGGGGGGAATTTAAATAGCTTTCAAGTGTATCTGGGATTTCCCACATTCAGCTACAGAAGTGAGATTGATTGTGATTCCAGATCCTATGGGAATGTTTACAGAGCGACCAAAAGGATGTTTTGGCATAACGGGAAGCTTTTTTTAGAGGCTGTGTTTTCTGTATCGGCTTCAAACCTCAGAATTTCTTTCCTTAAAAGGGAGAATTGGGCTCCTTTTTATGTGGATTTCCAATCATTGTTGTTGGTAAATGTAGTCCATTGATAAACTCCTCAAAGCATGCTTACCGAAAAACCGGCCCCTGCTTGTGCCTCTAGTTCCTACATTTCCCACGATGCATTGTGAGCTCGCTATTGACTTGTTGTGCCTTTACTTATAAAACATTTAAATATTCTAGACAGTGCAGCTTCACTCTTTCCGTGTTGACCCTTCACAATAAAAGCCTGACTGAAATTCCCTCAACAGAAGGCAACCCAACAAGATAAGTAAAACTATAGGTGACGAAATAGTCAGTTTGTAGTTCTTCCCAGCCTCTTACTTTATACCTACATTTCACTTAAAGTGCATGGTGGTGCAGGGTTCATACACATTTCTCTTTTTAGTCCAGTCCTTTCAGCAGTGCTGCTCTGCTGTTGAAAGCCTTTTGTCGGGGGATTGGGAATGCAATCTGCAGCATTAGTAACATTCAAGTTTCCTCCCCTTTTATTACTTCTACACTTCTTTAAGTCTCACTTTGAGTTATTGTTCTGCTCAGAACAGCGGGAATAATATAACTAATTATTTCTTCTCTACTCCCATACTGCCTTTACTGCCTTGGCATCTTCAGTAAAGAAAATAACATGATCTGTAGGAGCTGGGCTGCACCATTAAAGATGGAAATGAAGCTTGGGGGTTTCATCATAACAGAAACAATCTGAAGATGTTTTCCATCTGCTGTGTTTATCACAGGAATGTGTACGCTTGTGTTATTTTGTTTCCTCTTCGAGTATGGGATGCTACGGAGACATTAGCTTTGTTCTCCAGCAGTAACACCCTTTGGGAGTTAACTCAGCGTAGGCACTATAGGTTTCTGTGAATACTCTGTCCCTTCCTAATCGCAGATATATGGCTGGTTGTCACCCAGCGTGGCTCCTCTAACTGCTAATTAACAGCAGATGCAGAGAGCAAAGAGGGTTGGAGGCCTTCAGGTTGGAAAGGCATGTGTTTTCTGTAATTTGCATGTGTTTGCCGGCGCTGTGGGGCTTGTAAAAACGAGTAAGTGAAGTCACTTCTGCTACTTAGCACAGCAGGTAGCAGTAATAAGGCCGTTGTACCCTAAAGCTAATTGGAAAATGTACGAATCCATCTTTTTTGTGAGGTATAAACACTGACTCTCTTTGTGTGCCTTTTCCACCACAGTAGGAATAACACCCTGCAGAGGCAAAGCGTGCTAACTGTGCTTTAAAGGCCACATGTATATCAGCTAGTTATTTAGGTTTCTGCTTCCACTGATGAGGATGCAGCAGCAGCAGCTTTTTACAAATTGACATCCAGATGATTGCGTCAGAAAAACCCTAACCCTGGACATCAGCACTTTCCTGTGAAAAGCCCCGCGGCGGATAACACTCTCCGGAGTATCGTTCTGAAAGAGTGTTTTCACAGCAATATTGTGGAAATGGATACAGATTTTTAACATCCATATCTCCTTATAATTTCATTTCCTGTCAACCACCTGCTGTTGCCTGTTCCCTGAATGCAACGTGACTCGCTCCCACTGCAAAACAAAAAGCTGCAGATTCGTACAGCCAAGCAATCCAAACACATTCCAACTGTGCTGATAATTCCCAGGATGCATAGCTGCCAACTCTTGTGCTGGACCCAAAACACGTTAGCAGTGTTTATTTTCTCCTGCTTTGTATTCAGTATGTTAAAAAAAAGTACTTTGCATTGGCAACCGTATCTCCCCCAAAAACCCTGAGAACATGTTTCATTTTGATGGTGTCATGGAGATACATCTGTTTAAAAGCTGTGGGTAAAGTGATACCATATCAAAGCAGTAAAGTTGCATGCAATAAACCAGTACAATTAGCCTGGAAACATCCTTTTAAACCCTTTTTTATATTAACACATTGCCCTAATTTTAAAGAATGGCCTCTGACAGTTATCTTATTGGCTTTTCTAAAGCATTGCAATATAAACAGTATTTAAATGTTGTCGCGGTTGAGCTAAGTTGATTGACTTTATGTACAGTTGAGTCAGTTAATCTATAACAGTGCTTCTCAAAGTGTGGTCCGTGAGCGCCCCCTAGTGGTCCGTGAGTATATTGGTAACATTTCACATTTGAAATTAATTAATTAATTTAAATTGTTCGCACTCTCGCGGGAATATCTCCGCAATGGAGCGAGTTTAAGTTTCACTTTCGATTGCATGATAAAGCCCAGATAAACACCTTCGTCACACATGTTGCCACTTGTTTGTACCATCTTCAGGCGATTTGTAAAAAACGATGTGTTTTTGGATATTTGTGGAGTTAGGTGGTCCTCGAGTGTTTTTTTATTGGTTAAGTGGTCCTTGGTATGAAAAAGTTTGAGAAACACTGATCTATAACGATGCATCACATTCACAATCTAATTATGGGTTTTTATTTAAAACCTGAATCTGCAAATAGATGAAGTGGAGTCAAAAGTATATCTTCCGAAATGTAGAAAGCAGATGAAAACATTAGCAAGAAACTCCGTGTTTAATGTCAGACATTGAGTGACATATTCTTCAATCACGCATGATATCAGCCTACAAGTCCCCGCGGGCTCACTTTCCTTCGTGCTGGGTTGATCAGATTCAGTTATTCTGACGAGGAGGGAGGTGTAGTTTGATGCTGCAACAAACACTCTGTAAAACCGCCCCACCGGGAAGCTGGCTCTCCCTGTGTCTTTTTAGTTATATATAGAGTTTCTCCTGCGAGGCTGTCACATTGCATACATGTCTGCATGGTACTCTCCTTGGTCACACTTCACCCTCTAGACTCCATCTTTTCCACGGCCATGCGAGATGCTCGTCCTGCTGAGGTCAGCTGGTGTGTGTGTGTGTGTGTGTGTGTGTGTGTGTGTGTGTGTGTGTGTGTGTGTGTGTGTGTGTGTGTGTGTGTGTGTGTGTGTGTGTGTGTGTGTGTGTGTGTGTGTGTGTGTGTGTGTGTGTGTGTGTGTGTGTGTGTGGTGTGTGTGTGTGTGTGTGTGTGTGTGTGTGTGTGTGTGTGTGTGTGTGTGTGTGTGTGTGTGTGTGTGTGTGTGTGTGTGTGTGTGTGTGTGTGTGTGTGTGTGTGTGTGGTGTGTGTGTGTGTGTGTGTGTGTGTGTGTGTGTGTGTGTGTGTGTGTGTGTGTGTGTGTGTGTGTGTGTGTGTGTGGTGTGGGGAAATGTCAAGCTGCAGGGAAGCTGTTGACATTTGAATTTTTCCTGAGCGAGTTTTCTCTCCTTGACAATCTTAAAGCATGTCTGGTAACCAATTAGGAAGAACTCCCTGACTTCATTTGTAATTATTTATTTATTTTACTTCCATTTGCACTTTTCAAGATGCTTTTTCAGTCATGTGAATCCCTGAGGGAGGTCAGCCCCCTTGAAGCTAGGGAGCCTCTGTTTTGCTCGAGGACACTTCAGCAGGTGCTCAGGTGTCCTCCACCTCTCTCTTTCATCTCCTCCCTCTCTCGGCCCCTCGTTGGCTCAGTGAGACGTGGCTCTTCTCCACGCCTCAGCTCTTCTCCACGCCTCAGCTCTTCTCCACGCCTCAGCTCTTCTCCACGCCTCAGCTCTTCTCCACGCCTCAGCTCTTCTCCCTGCTGAGCAGTGTGGCAGCAGGCCACCAATTTGTAGATAAGAGCTCATTTCTCAATAGCACCATCAGATCAATACGCCGCGCTCTGAATGCACTTAGGGATGACTGATGGTCGGGCTATTAGCTGGCCTGCACCATTACCTGTAGTGAGAATCTGTCCTCTCTGTAATTGACATGCTGTAGTTATTTAATTTGAGGAAACATGAAGGGCTTCTAAGTCAAATGAAATATCTAGTACCTGAACAACATGAGTATTTTTGTTTCCACAAGCATCATGGATAACCAATCATTGGAACTACTTTATTCTACTGAAGAAATAGTCCCCGTTTTAAATCTATATCTGAGAACCTCCTCCTATAAAACTAACTTTATCTGCATTGGTAGTTTTATTTTTTATGTGCAATCCCAAGTCCCCATGTTGGTATTACACATTGGAAAAAGTCTGGTCACATGTGCCGTAAAGTGTGTGCCTTCTGGACATGCTCTTACAATGATACTGTAGAGTTTTTTAATGATGAGAAACAAAGAGCTTATGTAAAGTAGAAAATAGTTATGTCCAAGTTACAAGGCCTATGTTCAGAGAGCAGCACATTAGCCTCATTCAATTATTCAATACGCTATACCATTACTCTCCACAGCCTGGTTTCCTTGTTTTGATGGATGGAGATGAGTGGGATGGTCGGCCACACACTGCGGGAACAAAGCTTTTCAAGAAATGCTTAGTGCGTTTTGGGAAAAGTGGAGAACGTAAAATCATTTTAAAGAAGAATTTGGAAGTCTTTAAATGTAAAGCTTGCATGCAGCAGGAGTAAATAGAGCATTGCAGTTATTTCTTTCCGCTGTGACAGTTTGCTAATGGGACCGCCCACTGATATCAGACACCGGGGAGGGGGGGGTGCAGGCCTCCTGGGAAGCTGAGCTGAATGTAGCTGTTTATCCCTCTCCTCTTGCTCCATTGTGCATTGTTCAAACCCCTTATTGTTTCAGCATCTAACAAATACAGTATGTAGGCCAACAATGCACACACACACACACACACACACACACACACACACACACACGCTCATGATGTCACTGAGTTTAGTCACCCTTAAGAAATTCAGCTTGCAACAAAGCAGGGAATTTCACATGCACACTCCTCTGATGTTCCTCTCTCATCTCCAGGTATCAGCAGGTGCCGGTGGTGCTGGTGGGGAACAAGGTGGACCTGGAGGAGGAGAGGGAGGTGTCCCCCAGCGAGGGCCAGGCGCTGGCAGAGGACTGGGGCTGCCCCTTCATGGAGACGTCGGCCAAGAGCAAGACCATGGTGGACGAGCTGTTCGCTGAGATCGTGAGGCAGATGGACTTCTGCCCCCTGCCGGACCGGAGGGAGGCGTGCTGCCCCGCCTGCAGCGTGCAGTAGCAGCCTGTCGGACGTGATGGATGGGAGGGGTGGTAGAAAATTAGAATGCAAATGAATTCATGTTAGATAGATTAAAGATGGAGGGGTTTAAAGGAAAAATCCACTCCTTCTAAAAACGGTTTCTACCTGCTTTCTGTATCTAGCAGAAGTAGACAAAGGTGGCAACATTTTGACATACATCACTCCTCGGACACAGGGTGGATTTTTCCCTTGAAAGAATAAAACAACACTTGACCTCCCACCTTCGCCATCCTTGTTAACAGGAGTAAATGTTCGGGGTTTCCCAAAGGCAGCACGGTGCCAAAACCATCTTAAAAAGCCATCGCCAAAGAGGATCATAGTGCGAAATGCTTCTTGGGAAACCAGCCATAGGTCCGAGCAGGGATGGCAGTGTTTTTGGTCCTCTTTTACTTCTGCTTGTGTTTTTCTTGTTGCACTTTTGGGACTTATTTGACAGTGCAAGACCAATCACCAAGTATCTGAACGGATGTCAAGTAACACCACTGTGAAGGAGTCGTACTGGAAGTTAAATTCACAGCAGGCCCGCCTACCTATGAATGAATGAATAGATGAACGAATGTTTAAAATAAGGAAACCGCACCTTTGGGGAAATTCCTTCAGAAGATCCCAACGTTGACATACTGTGGATGATGTGTGCATGACGTTGTACTGTCACACTGACATTGAGTACAATCAATCTCACCCAAAGAGACAGTATCAATCAACTGATCAAACAATCATTGAAATGTACAGAACACTTGTCGTTACACATTACGGATGATACAAATGCCTTGTTACATTGTTTGAAGTAAACATCAGTGTCAATGTATAGTTCATTTACCTTATTCACATCAGATATGTTAGTGGTTCAATGTGAGAAACACTTATTTTCAACAAAAAATAAATCTTTATGCACATATGTATCACGTGTTTTTATTCCTTGAATGATCATTTTGTTAGAAATATTACATTTTTCTTTAATCTGTAAAGACAGCTCCTCCTTCCAACTTTCAGCTCGGCTTTTGATCTCCATTTTGGCCTGCGTGGAAGTGATTTATGATGTGTTGGTCCTGCGGCGGCGCTCCCTGGCCAGGCGTCTTGCCGCTCCGGCTGCTGCCATTAGTGCCAACACTTACTGCTGATTCTGGTCCTGAAAGCTCCAACGAGCATTTGTCAAATTCTGAGCGCCATTAGAGTCCATTAGGAGGATGAAATTGGGGACGTGAGACTTTAAAGCCAAGATCATCACTTTGGATTCCATCCAATCAGCATAAGAGCAACAGTGTTTTAACACATAGGAAACACAAACTGAGGTCATTCAAAAATAAATTGAGGGACACTGTGACTAAAGAAATATCAAAAAAGTATTAAAAAGAGATACATGTTGATCGGGGTACTGCCATACTGAATGTAGCCAAACATTAAACATTCACACAGCAAGGTTTTTGATTTTATTTATTTTTAATGCACAGCTGCTGTATTCCTTTGCATCTCATCTGTTGAGATAATATATTATTAAAACAATAGCCTTCATCACTATTATCATCTGACATATGCATGATGACGCAGTTTGGGTGACACACTGTTACCTTATTGCTCCCCTCATCTGTTAATTCTGTTTTTAATACCGTTTTGATTCCATTATATGAAGTCACTGCTCACACAGTTTAAGCAGGAGTTGTTGGAGCTTGTGTTTTCTCAACGACTTTTAGAGCAATAGTCTTCACAGCGAGCAGAGCTTCGTTGCAGGCGTCGGAGATGTGAGATGGTGGAAGGAGGAAGCCATAGCGCCCGCGGTCCTGGAGCTCAAATGTGAACGAGTATTTGATGCCAAGTTTGTACGCCCAATCATCAGAACCTCCAGGAGCCAGGTCTGTTGAGCAACAACATTCATATGAAAGTCACTGAATTTACTATAGCTGATTTAGATTGAAAACAAAGCACTACTTACATATTGTATTTGCTCCAGGACCATATTTGTAGATATTTCTGTAATATCTATGGATTTGCCCGGCAGCTTCTTTGACCATTTCAAGCTTTACAAAAAACAACACATATTTAGAAAAAACTACCAAGAGTTTCCGTGTTTAACCTCAAGATGTGAGGGCAATGTGGTTTACTGCAACAGTGGACAGCTATCATGTCATGATCTCATCTATAAATGCAACCACTCACCAGCTCGCTGTGGTTCTCTGCTTCCTCTAAGGTGCAGGAGTACGGGAAGAGCAGCATCTGAGAGTAGGAGTGGATGCTGAAGTAGATCTGGACGATGTCCTTGTGGCTGCGCAGGAAGTCGGCCACGGCCTGCGTCTCTGGTTCAGACTCAGGGAAGGCCCCGCAGTAGATCTCAGTGCAGGGCTGATCAGAGGCTCCCTCCGCTGGAAGACACACAATCACTTTAGTTTATATAGGTGAGCCTCGCATATGCAATCTCAGACATTGTTTTTGAATGCATCGTCTTTGTGTTACTAGCTTTGGATATTTGCATCTGTAAATGTTTTCCGAAACAATGCCTTCTTTGCAAATCTTCACATAACATGTCACCAAGCTTTCACACTTCAGTAGCACTTATACACACAACAAACTTTCAAGATGTAGTCTTATCTATATTCTGAAGCTTTTTAGTGTGGGGTGTGTTCAGATGTCCTTCAAAGTCCTGTTGTAAAGTACAAATTGTTCCTAAAACATGGATCATGTTGATGGAAAAGGACTCACTGCACCAGTTGGCATCAAAGTTTCTGTTGAGGTCGACCCCGATGCATTTAGTGCTCATGTTGGTCGAGCGGTTCTTCCTCCACATCCTGTTCTGAGACAAAAGCAATTTAAATATCTTCCTTAACAACCATCCAAGCACTTATCAACGTACACATCATGTACTCTTACTGTTGTCCATGTGTAATGGTATCCATCAGGGTTCAAAACAGGCAGGATGTAGACATCCATGTTGTCCAGGATGTTAGTAATGTCTTTGTTTGACTGGTAAAATGACAGAGACTGTGCAAAAAAACAACATTGAAACCGTGGTATAAAACAAAACAAAACCTTGTTCTACAATACAGTACATTCCCACTTTATGATTACTATATTTAATATACTCACATATTGTACAAACCATAAGCAGAAAGCAGGAGAGATCCACTCTCTGGCATGGATCCCACAATCTATCCACATTGCTTTCTTATTCGGCCTGTTATTTACAGACAACTGAAAGAGAAAGGCTTCATTTAAATACATATTTATAAAAACAACTTTATTCACATTGCAGCGTATAATGTAATTAATCAGATTACCTTTAGAACATAGAGTGGACGCTTCTCAAATGAGGAGCCAATGAGAATGACTTTCACAGTGTCAGGGTTGTCCTGTTGAGTCCTGTTTATCCAGATATAAATCTACAATGGACACAGTGTGTTTGGATGTCAACATCCATTAACATGTGTGCATAAAATCACCAAAAAGTAAACGCTATGTAGCTAGAATATGATATTTAAAGATGGAAAGCATACATCCTCCAGGCTGTGATATCTTTCGTAGAAGGTCGAGCTGCTCCTCGGGTCAGTGGAGTCGTTCCTCGTCTGCATTTCAATCAGCTCGTTGGGGTTCGCCAGTAGCACCCTGAAAACACACAAGAACAACTCCAGACAGCTTGCTCAACTTGGATGAAATGAAATGTAATCATGTGTGGGACGTACTCGTGTGTTATGGCGTGTCTCTTCAGCAGGTCCTTGACAGTCTCTGAGCTGTTTGCAGGGACAAACAGGTGGACCTGAGTGTCTTCTTTAATATAATGAGGGGAAACAGGCTGCCACAAGGCTGTCTGGGAGAAATCAGGCAAACAAGGTGATTCACAGAAGATACATAAAATCACATGAAGAAAAATCCAACTCCTACCTCATATTGAGTGGAAACATTCTTCAAGATGTCTACTTGCTCCTGTGTTTTTGGGGTGATTGATAGAACTTGATCTCTAAATAAAAAGAAAACAAGGCATTAAAAAGTCCAGCTGATGCAGAACCTCACAATGTTTCCAAATGTATTATTGACAATGTGAGAATATAAGTGTCATTTGTATAAGCTTTATAAACGTTGTCATCTGCTTTTCAGAGTCCACGCATACAAGGCATGTTTGCATAAGTGTGTCACAACCTGTTTTCTTTGTGGAATTCAGTTGCCTCACAGATTAGAAATGAATAGGAAACGTGTTGTTGTAAATGTAACCAAATCAACTTACTGTATTTCTGCGCAGTGTGCCGGCTTCAGCAGTTTGTCCAAATTCATTAAAACAAAAAAAATCAAAAGAGCCTTCATGATGTCAGGAATCAGACTGGAAATGATAGACGTTTACTAGAACCATGAGGACAGCCAGGAACACATTATTGATTAGTACACTATTTATTTAGAAGTTAAACATTACTCTTTTAAAAGACGAGGGCATAGATCAGCCACCATGGCCTAAAGAGGGAGTATGTAAGTGTTGTTGTTCTATAATATACAGATGCCTAAATCAAAGTAAGCTTTACTAAAATGTGATGACACTGTATCTTCCCACCTCAACCAGGATACCAGTGATGTGATGGAAATTAACAAAGTACATTTAAGGCAAGGCAAGTTTATTTATATAGCACCTTTCAACACAAGGCAATTCAAAGTGCTTTACAAAAATGAAAGACATTAAGAGCATTAACCCTCCTATTATCTTCTTACTTTGGTGTTAGCGGTCAAATTTGACCGGTCCTGTTTTGACTGCTATTACATTAACACAAAAACCATTAATCATCACCAAATGTAATTTAACACCCTTTCAAACTGTACATATAGTATCAGACTACTGGTATACATGAAAAACTGCAGTAAATAATATACAAAGAACAGACACTGAACATGTATTGCGTGTGCCAGTTGTGATCCATGTGGGGGGATGGGCACATAAGAGCGGGAAATGTGTCAAATTGTTCTGTGTGTGTGTGTGTGTGTGTGTGTGTGTGTGTGTGTGTGTGTGTGTGTGTGTGTGTGTGTGTGTGTGTGCGTGTGTGCGTGTGTGTGTGTGTGTGTGTGTGTGTGCCAGGTGTGATTCACATGGGGGGATTGGGCACATAAGGGGGGGAACACATCTAGAGTGTGTGGGGGTGTGTGGGAGTGTGTGGGTATGTGTGTTTTATCTGATCCGGATGGTTACTAATTCCTTTTCTTTATGGCGGTCATTTTTGACCGGGAACACCATGGCTGATACAAAGTTGACTAAATCATCCAAAATGCAATGAAAGTGGTGATCAGCAATTTCATATGTTCAAATGTCTACTGTGAAGGATATCATAAAGCCTTAATGCAATCGAATGTAAAACAAAAAAATGTATGATTGATGAAAGTAGTAAATCGGTCAGATTTGACCCGAAGACAACAGGAGGGTTGCAGTTCTACTTCACTGCATTTCAGAGGCAAATACTGAAAATACTTCCACATAATAACTCTGCATCAACTCAGTGCAGTACCTCCTCCCCGCCACACGGGGGCGCCACACAGATATCAGTGACAGTAGAATGGACTAGAACAGGAAAGTGATGTGTTGTTCATTTGGCAAGATGTCGGGCCACGATCAGCTCGTCCTCTGTCTGTGCGAATTAACTAGGTAAGACACATCAGGATTCAAATGAACAATTCAAACGTCTATATATAAGATGTTCATTGTCAATTTCGAAAGTGTAGTTAAGAGCTGTTGTGGTAGCTTTGAATACAGTCCATGCTACTGCTACAATGTTGACGACACTAGGCTTATTGTTTGGTTGTAGTCTTCAGATAAATACATTACATGCTATAGTTTTGTCCTGTTTCTACGACTAATGTTGTTGGTGTTCTTGTTGTACTAACGGTGTTTATATAGTAGTAAACTAATGTTATATGTTGCAGAAGGTAATATCCCTT